GAAATACCAGTTAGTAAGGAGACAAAATCCTCCCCACACTGAGCTTACAATTTAACTAGGAGAGACAAACAAACAGTATAAAAAATTTCAGATGAGGGGTGGGGGAAGGGCAAAAGGGAAGAGGTGTTATTTTAAAGAGGATGGTCATGGAAAGTTTCCTTAAAAAGCAGCTGAAGGTGGTGAGGAAGGCAACGTGGAGAGTTCTGGGAATGGACACAAGCAGGCAAGGGAATGCCTTGCTGCCAACTTGCTGCTGCCTCTTCTGAACTGAAGAACAAGGGCCGGGCCTCAGGATCTCAAATGTCTTTTCAACTCTCAGGTGTACACTCTCTGCTCCCTATCATCCATCAAAGCTACACCGAATGCTTACAGCTCACCCCACTCACTAGACCTTTCCACTTGCACAGTGGGATCCTTTCAGTCTCTCCCACTGTCATACAACTAAGCCCGCTGGAAGCTTCTCTAGTCTAACACCCATCAAGCCAAGTCAGCTTGGGTGTTCAATTCTGAGCTTCCAAAATAACCTATCACTTAACCTTTATCTCTCCCCCTAGAGTCACTGTCTGCTGTTTCTTGGTTTGAGAACTCCCCCAGTGCTGTGAACATGCTTACCTATCTATGACCCCTAATACCTCAACCTCTAGCACAGTACCTGGTGAATAACAGTTATTCAGTCAAATATTGAAAAGCCGGATGTTGAACGCATAGGTAAGTTCCTTGAGGCAGAGCTCAGGTCTGACTGACACTATCAGCAGAAGAAAGCATACTGCCTGGTACCACAGAGGAGACTCCTGGGATGCTAAATGAATTGGTGTCTACCCTGGTATTGGCATTTTACCAGAGATCCAAGGTAGCCTCAATCCCTGGCCATGCAAGTGCAGGGCCAATGCAGACATGGTCCTCCAGGGTACAGAACAGACTCAGGGCACCGAAGAAGAGTTTATGCCCATTCACAATATGGGACTTTTCTTACTAACATTATGAGTTTCTAATAAGCCTTAATCTCCTTCTTAAACTTCCATGCCCAGAGATAATTTGGTGTTGGGGGGACAGATTCTTTTAAGCCAACCATTCTGCAAATCAATACCAAGCACCCTTAAACCCTATTGGCAGCTCCAGGATGGCAACCAAGAGTGGGTATGGCTGTTAAGTGTGGAAGGTACATTCTGAATCCCACTGTAATAAGGCAATACCTTTGTCTCTTCTCATCTTTCCACATTTGTAATAGTTCTTTATCTCCACCTCCTGCCCCGTAAGCCTATAGTTCTTAGTCTGAAAGCTTCCCTGAAGCCCGTCCACCATGAGTGACCTGCTGGTATTTGGCACAGCTTCTAACATGCCAGGAACACAGCTGACAAACTGACATGTGAGTAATGGTTACCATGTGTAAGACTTTTGTTTAATAAGGAGATAGACTACTAGTCAGTAAGTGTTCATTGAGATTTAAAAAAAAGAAAGAAAAAGGACTACAGAAATTGAATAATTGACACCTTCCAACGCCACTCTTTTTTTTTTTTTTTTTTTGGCAGAAAGGGAAAGTAGGGTCCAAGCAGGAAATAATGGAAACCTCTCTGCAAAGGAGACCTAACTATCTCCTCGTTAAAGCTGAGTTCATTGACGCTCTAAAGTTTAGTAACTCAATGCACAGGCACACAGCCAGTAATCAATCGGCATGGTCAGATTTGATTCCCTGTTTGAGTCTAAAGGCAAAAATTGCCAATGCTATACCCAGCCAGCTCAAATGTGATCCCCAACTCCCACCCCAATGCTCCAGGAAAGTGTAAAGTCACAGGCTGCATCGCTGTGGGCTGTGGGGAGGCTACACATTCCCCCAACTCTCAGTCCTTCTTGAAGCCAACATAAAAGCACTGAGAAGGTCTAAAAGCTCCTTTGATGACTGACCTCAGATAGGCAGACGGCAATGGAGCTCTGTGCAAAAGGCCTGTGATCTCCGTGCAATATCATATCTAAACCAACTCCCACAGAGACCACGAGCACTTATTATTTGATCCTTCGTTTCAGAAGTGTTAAGGCAAGATAAGTTTAGAGCTTAGATAATCATAGAGCTGTGTGTATGTGTGTACAAGCAGGTGTCTGTAAGTTGTGAAGGCCACGTGTATATTCGTAAGGGTGTCTGAGAGTGCTTGGTGTGCGGGGTGTGAACGAGGGCAAGGGGGCATATGAAGGAGACACAGAATCTCTCTTTCTTTCTCTCCTTCCTTCCATTTTCCCAGCAATATGAAAGCACTATGTCTTATTTCTCCCTAAGAAAGATGTAAATAGACTTTAATCCAAATTCTCCTCATCTCATCACCTCACAGAGTGTTCCTGCAATAATCAGAGCTGGTAAGAACTGATGTTGGGCATGAAAAGGAAACATTTCAACACTAAGGCAGATCTGGCCTAGTGGTAAGAGGCTGTGCTGCAAACCTAAAGGCATGTGGTTTGAATCCACCAGCTGCTCAGTGGCAAAAGACGGCCAATCTCCTCCTGTGCGATTACCTGCCTCTGAAAATCTGCCTGAAGGTCAGCTATGGTTAGATCTGACTCGATGGTACCTAACAACAAGGCAGAGCTGAAGAAATACAAGCTCCCTTCAGGTAAAATTGAAATTAGGAGCCAAGATTTCTGAAGTTTACCCTTTTATTTAATCTTCTAAAATTTTGGTAAAAATATGTACTGTCAAATTCTAGGTGCCAGCTTTTTACTAATAACTCATTGTCATCGAATCAGAACCACCTCATAGTTGACCTTCCAGCGGGTTTTTCGGAGGCTATAAATGACATGGGAGGAGGCTGCCCATCTCTTTGTCAGAGCTGCTGGTGGATCTGAACTGCCAGAGAAGCACTGTCTTTGGATCAACAGCACAACTTACTATGAACCATGACCTCAGAGCTCCCTAGCGGCCAGACCTAGTGTTTGTTCTCTCCAAAGAAGGTTCTTGTCACTTCTGAATTTTTGGTACATGAACATCTTTACCTGGCCTGGCCCCTCTCTTCCTCTATTGCCGTTTGCTTGTTCAACAGGTATCTCCAAAGACTCAACTTCACTCAGCTCATCACCATAACAGACTGCTAGCTAACGCTGTATTGGTTTTTGGAGGCTGTAAAGCGCACAGAAGGAGACAGCCTATCTTTCACTTGTAGATTCCAACTGCCAGTGTCCAGAGACCCTGCCTTTGAGTTAGCAACAGCACAACTTCCTAGGGACAACACCCCCTGAGTCAAAACACACCCTACACTAATCCTGCCTCATTAGCACAACAAAGACAATCCATTCCCAAATGGGGCTTTAACCATAGGCCTACCCACTGCCTTCAGTGGATGGTGATGCAGCATCAGATTTCCAATTGCTATGCAGGAAGACAGCCCGCATTTCTCCTGAGGAACAGTTGGTGGATTTGATCTGCCAATATTTTGGTTAACAGCCCAACTCGTTATAAACGAAGTCACCAGAGATTCTTAACCACAGACAAACAGGTTGGGATTTACAGCGTATGTTTTAGAGGATACAATTTATTCATAACAAAAGGGGTTTTCATTTTTATTTCTTTTTGGCAGGGGTGGGTAGCTGGAGCACAATGAAAAGACTAGATAGCAATTCTAGAGTCATAAACACCAGCCTTTAAATACTTTTTTCCTGTCCCTTATTGTCTACAGAACTTTTATTTGGTCCATAATTTTGTTTTGCCATCAGAGGAAAGGGTTTTTGAGAGAAGCAAATATTTTAAGGTAAACCCAAGACCAGTGCCTGACCCATGGAAGCACCCTAAAACAAATCAGTACCTTCACTGTGGAGACAGCTGTGGGGGACAGAGTGCACAGTGTGGTTTTGAAATTATCTAGAGTTTTTTTCTTGGAAAAAAAGTGAAGGGACATGAAAGAAACATAGTCATATGACTCTGCTAAGCACCTTTTCCAAACACCAAAATGGTTTACAAAATTGCTTCCAGGCATAGGTAAAAACAAACCAGGAACTTATGTTATCTTTGCTAAATTAGCCTTCCTAAGGACAAAACATGAAACTGAGAAGAGAATCAAGGGAAGTGCTATTCACGAATAAATAAAATCCTCGCTTAATGAGTTCCTAAGACAGGACCACCTTTAGCTCTGCAGCCTAGGTAAAGGGGCAGTCCAGAGCCCTCTACTTTGAAAGGCCTAGGGGGGTTAAAAACAAAGTGAAACAAAACCTCTCTGCTGTTTTGGTGGGCTTTATTATTTTTTTCCCCAATTCCTAATTATGTTTTTGAAAGAAGCTGAAATCAAACAGTCTTTTTCCAAACAGCTTACACTTTTCCAAGCTCCATCTGACCTCCTGGCACCTTCTTGCTCAGAACTCCAGCAAAGCAGCTGAAGGCAGGAAGTGCCTTGGCACATGGAGCTCATTCAAGGGTAGAGGAAAGGCAAGAAAGACCACATTTAACTGACAAAGAAAAACAGACCAGCCCGCTGTCTGTGCTGCAGCTGGAGCAGAGAGCAAGGCGCTTCACCTGCACTGGCTGAGTGTCCAGGAAATCAGAGCAGACACAGGCATGGGGAGGGCGGCAGCCTGGGGTGAGGCATGTGTGAATCTCAATCATGGGCTACCATTTCTCTCTCTCTCACACAAACATACACATACCACATTTAACTTCTCTGGGCTTTGCTCTCTAGGTCTGAGAAATGGGGTTAAGGATTGTGGGCTTCACAGCATTGTTATGAAGGTATATAGGAATAGCGGTGCAAATATGTGTATATGTATGTATATATATGTGTATGTATTTTTTTTACAACTCAAACCAACATATGTAATTCAGGTACTGCTGATTTTTAGAGCCTTTCTGTACCAACACAGGGAGTTGCACTGCTAATCCAAAGGCTGAGTCTTACTTATGGTTAGACTCTAGTTACTCCACTAAGGTTTATCAAGGAAGTCCATTCTAAGCCTTGATAATCCTGAAATGTGCAGAAGAGAGTCACTCTGCAGCTGGGCACTGTTGCCATCAAAGGGAAGGTACTCACCACTAAATACAGCATGGTGTACATGGAGAAGGACGCATGTCCAGAGAAGAAGGATTTCCTAAAAGAGCAAGAAAGGGTACATGAAAAAACCATATTCATATCCCTCACTCATGTATGTCTGCTCCATAGACTGTGACCTTGAGACTGGGCACTGCGTCTCATTTATTTTTATTATATCCTTACTTGTGTACCGTCGAGTCAGAAGTGACCCATAGCTAACCTCAAAAGGTAGTTGGTCATAAGACCTGAAACACAGCAGTCACCCATCAATGCATGAATAACATAAAAAAGCAAATGAATAAATGCACGCACTATAATTGCTTGTTTGTGAAAATATGTGAGCTCCTTAAGAATGAAGTTCATAGTTTTGGCCTATGTAAACCAAAGCCCATCTGCTAGGTTTGGCACCTAGCCATAGTAATTTGTGTTCACCTAACTGCATGGCATCAAAGGGGTGCGCAGTGTGGCAATTGGGAGCTGATGTCTCACCTGGCTTCCTGGATTTTGCTGTCATCGCCTCTGCATCTGTAGTTCTGAATGTAGCCCTGGGAGCAGTTGATCTGGCTGAAATCCGGGTTACAGACACTCAGGAAGTGAGGACGCAAGCGTCCTATGGACACTTTGGCAATGTCTGTGAAGGACTGGCTGATGGCACAGCCAAAGAGGAAGCAACCCACTTGCTTGTAGAGCGCTGCCACATAGGGATTCTGAATTGTTGATCGGGACTTCTCCTTCAGGTAGTAGATCCGGTAGAATTCCCCTGTGATAATCTGAAAAGAAACCAAGAGGGAAGTCAGGCAGTATCAAGGCTCATCATCCACACCAGTGTTGTCAAGATACAGAACAACACAGAAGAATGTTCAATGTACTGTTCGGGTTATAATCTATAAAATCCCAGTTTCGTCTTGTGTACAACTGTGCCTACAGATGAGCCCCTCAGATTGGAAAACACTTCAAATACAACTGGGAAAGAGCTGTCTCTTCAAAGCAGAGTCAACTTAATGATATAGAGTAAGGTTTCTCGTCCTACTCAAGTTTCTTACCATAGATAAATTAGTGTTTCCAGCACTGAGAAGAAACAGCTGCAAATATCCATTAATAATTAGAATACAGAATGTACAAAGCACCAATCTAGGAAAATTCGAAGTTCTCAAAATTGAAACACAATACATCAAGATTGGTATTCCAAGCACTAGTGAGCTGAAGTGAAGTGGTATTGGCCCTTTTGCATCAGACAATCATATGGTCTATAAATGATGGGAATGACAAATCGAAGAGAAACAGTGCCACACTCATCATCTGAAAGAACATTTCAAGATCCATCCTGAATTACAGTGCTGTCAGTGATAATACAGCTATGGATATCAGGACAATATAGCCATGACTACCAGGAAGATCGGCTAATACAGCTGTTATTTTAATTTGCACATTAACCACTAACGTTAAATTATGAAGAAATATCATTCTAGCAACTTTGTGCAGTCTGAAACTGATCAACCATAATGTATTACTAATTGCAATAAACTATGGTGATTAAAATGAGAAAGTTGGGAACAAAGAAGGATCAGTGGTTGGAAAATATAACCCTAGTGAAAGAAATGAAGCCAGAGATCACAAGACAGAATTTTGCAAAATGAATGACTTATTCACTGAAAAATACCCCCATCCAACAACATATATAGCAACTATATGACTGGACCTCACCAGATGGGATTCACAAGAATTAACATCTGTGGAGAAACTCAATATGATCAGTGAGAACAAGGCCTGGGGCTGACTGTGGCACAGACCATCAATTACTGATATGCAAGTTCAAGATGAATTTGAAGAAAATTAAGTGGTTTATGAGAGCCAAAATTTGATCTTGAGTATATTCCACAGACTTTAGAGAAATTAAAGATCATCTGAAGAATAGATTTGATCCATTGACCATCACTGAAGATGAAATAGATCAATTTTGACAACTTTCAATTTTCCTTGATGTGTCAAAGACATTACAGAAGAAGAGAGCAAACGGTCATTATAAAGATAAGAAAGAAAAAAAGATTAAAATGATTGTCAGAAGAGACTCGAAAACTTGCTCTGGAATGTAAAGAAGTTAATATGAATGATCCACTCACTCCATCCCTAATTTTAAACCATGTAGTGCTCCTTTTTAATAAATCCTTTGACATCTAATAGCAGAAAAGCAATTCTATCTTACGGATGCACGTCCCAAAGGGACATTAAGACCACAGAGCCTGTTGCCATTGTCTTAACTCCACAGAGCAACTCTGGCTACTTCCTTGTTTCAACCACAGCCCAGGAACAGCAATGTTCAAACCTTCACTCACCACAAAAGTCCCTTTCACACTTCCTCACAGGGCAGGGAGAAGAGCCACACTTGCCCTTTCAGAGAGCAGAGGGCACGTTCACAACCACAAAGGAAGCAATAGACAGACATATCCGGACACTCCTTTTCAAAAGCTCTCATTGTCCTTTACACTGGAGAAGGCATCAAGACATGAGTTTGGTTAAGGTCCTTAGGACTCGACACCTAAGGGCAGGACAGAAATCTAGGAGTGAAAAGTCAGTTGAACTTAGGGACAAGCAGGTGTAGTGGTTATAATCACTACTTTCTGTGCTAATATTTATACAGCAACTCTTAATCTATATGCAAGAGCTTTTAGATCTCAATAGTCAGCTCTGCAGGAGAAAGAACTTGTTCCCATAAAGACAGCAATTGGAACACTATGTGTCTACTCTGTTCAGAAACAAGCAGTGATTATATGTCAGAATCAACTCGACAGCACCCAGTAACAGTGCTTATAAATGCTACTCTTTCCCCCCTTACATTATATTGAGTGTGGTCTTGTATTAGACGGTGATAGCCCAAGTCCAGTTCAGCCCTGCATCCTGGTTTAGCCATTTCCTGCTACAGCAGATATAAGAAACTACCAGCTAAATGGATGAATGAACTTGGGGCAGGTTTTGAATGCAAGGAGCAGGATAATTCTCAAAGCTGTATTACTGTAAAATGGGTAATATCCCCTATATATATGGCCAAGAGTTCTTTGATAACACACTGCAGAGATTAAAATAGGGGAAGCATGGCAGGTCAGAAATGAAAGGGGCCATTCTATCTAGAAGAAACTGAGGTCCAAATTAACTCGTATCTAAAAATTAGACCCAGGTGTTCTGACTCCCCATCAAGCATTCTTTCCTACCATGCATGATCTAATTCTCCTTTTGAACCTGTTTATACTTTCACCCTGTGTAACCTTTCAAGATAACGAGCTCCAGATGTTTATGTCCATAATTCTCTTATTCTTCTTCATTTTTAAATCATGCATATATGGCTTTGTATGCAATGAGAAGAACACTGAACTAGAAGTCAAGTTTAGTCAGTGTTTGGGGCTCTATTTGGGAATCTTATCATCCATTGAGTGAACTTGAAAAAGTCATCTTCCCCATTTGCAGAATGAGGGCAGGCATGAGACTCAGTGGATTCCTCATCACAGTGACCTTGACTTCCAACACTCTTGTGCGATCACCACCACTCTCTTCTCAGTGAGGCAAAGGTCACAAGCAAAAACAGGAAAATGATTTCTGCTGAATTGGCGCCACAGACACGGAGTGGAACTGAGATTTCATTCACAACCTCTGCCCTTGGATACTCCTAAGTCCCTTGAACCACGTCACTGCTACAGATGAAGAAAGAGCTGCTGGGAAGGTCTGGCTGGACTGTCATTTCCTATTGGATGGTAAGAAGAATACTTGAGTATCTAGTACAAACTCAGCTTATCTTTTACGTACTTGCTAGTTTATCTCTGGTGAGTCCACTCTCTGATGATTCAGTTTTCTTCATTTTAGCCAGGAATTGGATTGTAACTCAAGGACTCTTCCCAGCTCCAATATCGCACCACTCTAAAATGTCAGAGTTAAGTGCCACCGTTTTGTGAGCTGTAAGGACTTCCGGTTTTGGTGATGTTAAGGCCTACTCCCATTCATGGGGAAATGAGATAAAAGGGAGAGAACTGACTGGTACCTCAGATTCCTCACAACAGTGGCAATAATGGATACAATTTCTTGACACTTCTCTTGAGCTTTATTTCTATTTAATTGGTAGCCATGAACTTGATAAACCTACTTGACAGGTAGCAGAGTACTAGAACTCAGGAAGAGAAAGTGATCAGAAGGTTCTGAAGGTAGTGAGTGATAGGGTTCAAAGTGCTGGTGGTGTTATTGTTAGTCTCCATCCAGTCAGCCCTAACCCAAGGTAACCTTATGTGTAACAGAAGGAAACACTGCTTGGTTCTGGCACCATCTTCAACAGCATTAGCACATTTGAGCCCATTGTTGTAAATATTGTGTTAAACCCTCTCCTGGAGGCTCCACTTCCTTTCTGCTGAGCTTCTACTTTGCTAAACACAATGTCCTTTTCTAGTGTTTGGTCTTTCCTGGTGATGTGTCCACAAAGCAAGCAAGAAGTTTCATCACATCATCCTTGTGTCTCAGAACCCAGGTATTCTGGCTTTCAAGTTCAGAACTCCATGTTTCTGTCGTGACTAAGAACAATTTCCATGGCAGAATACCAGTTGCATGTTTTCCAGGACAGGGCTACACTAAAGTCATTTAGCAGACACATGACTCCCGGCCCACATGGCTTCTGGTGCAGCCCTGACAGATCCCGGGGCAATGAGCAACAAATTATGTATTTTCTCGATCCCCCTGTACAGAGGGTCAGGGAGTCGGCAACACAGCCATAAATCATCGTTATGAACCAGCTGGACTGGGCTTCTTGTAATCCTAACCCTTAAAAGGCCATTTAATGAAATTCGGGCTGTGAAAAGCAGTCCGCATGCCTCACCTCTGCAGAAGAGGCGAAGGCTTAAATCGTTCTCCGGCATGTTACACACCTAACTCCGGAGTCCCAGATTTACTGCTTTCGGATTTTATTCATTACTCACAATGTTTATATTCTTGAGTAATAAAATAGCTCTTCCCTCTTTCTCACTCCTCCTCCAATGGCTGGGCCCCTACCCTGGACTCTGGAGCCTTCATTTCTGCTACAGTCAGCAAGGCTGTGATATGTAAATTTGACTGCTGAGAAAAATGCCTTCCATGTTGATCCCTTTCTGAAACGGCAAGCAACAGATTCTGGGGCTGGTGGCCGGCTGCCAGGCCAGCGGAGAATTCTCCCCTACCTGCCTTTTAAAGCACTTGGCATGGGATCTGGAAACTAATAAAGTGGGAAAGTATTGCAATTAAGCTATAAGGGGACAGAAAGGGATCAGTCCTCGCTCAAAGATCTCTGCAGCTGGAAAGGCAGTATTCTCTACCTATACTACAATACCTCGTCCTGTCTTATATTACAATAGAAGGAGCTCATCTGCCCACAGTGACACATATTTAACTGTTCTGGAGAAGAAATTTGGAAAAGAATTAGGGTAGTCTGTGGAACGCACATAACACAGTGATAAAAGAATAATCCACTTAGAACAAAAAAACAAAACAAACACTCCCTGAGTCTGAATTGTAGCGCTTATCTTAGAGGTGACTTCACCTCTCTGGGCTTAAGTGTCTTCATCTATAAAATAAGATCACTAAGAACTGGAAGGATTGGCAGAGGATTAAATAAAGTGATACATCAAATGTCTTGCACATAATCAGAAGAGTTCTCCAAAATTTTGCTTTTCCAACTTGCCTCAGAGAAAGTGTACACACACACACACACACACACACACACACACACTCTTTGGAGAAAACTCCCAAATAAAGAGTTAGGAAG